GTTTAATAGGTATTGCATGATTGGTGGGCAGGGTCAAAAAGGGATTATTATAATGACATGGCACCTCGGAACTAAGTGTTAACCCTTTTTTGAGAAATCATGCTCAAGTATATGAACCCAAATTGCATATTAAATAAGTTTACAAGAACCACTAAAATTAATCTTAATCTTTTTTTAAGAAATTTTACTTACCTAAATACATGTAGGTACTTAGTTTTAGACCAAATTACTTCCCAAAAATGGCCTTTTATTATTATCTATGTCTGTAATTTTTAATTTACTTTAATTATTAAGTTTAATAATCCTAAGATTTGCCTACGCCCATGGACGACAACGAAATTCAGGCAAATTTTATGACACTTCATGATTTATTACTCTACACTCTTTTGAAATAGACTATAAAAACTTTCCTTATTCATTGTTCATAAGATATCCGGGAAGGTTGAATTTTCCACCAACATGTGAGAAAGATACCCAATAATGAATAAAATAAGTGACACCACTGTAACTCATGTAAAAAATCTAGCATTTACCTCCACCAGTGTTAATAGAGTGCGTGAAAGCCATAACTTGAGGGGTACGAAAAAGGTAAATGGTTTGTGCTACCACCTATATCACAGATAAAGTGTTCGTTTCTACAGAAGGTGTAGTACTACTAGTAGGTATAGCTTGTGGAGAAAGGGGATACACTGACCACAAATCCGTAGTGTTTGAGTATGTCCATCTTGCACATCGGACATGTTCGATGTTCAAGCAACCAGGGATCTATACAGTTTTTGTGGAACTCGTGCCTGAAAAAAAACAGAAATTATTATTTCATACATAAGTAATTTGAATATAATATCACAAAATATTGATGGACTCATGAAATTATTTTATGTATGGTGAGAACTTAGGAAACAGAGATGTATAGATATAATACATGATAATAATAATAACTCCGCAGGAGTTTGCATCCCAAATCATCCGTTCCACGGTTGTACTTCTCCCGACTTTTGAGTTTGGAGAATGTTACTGGATGGATTCTGTGAAGTCGTTAGGGATTCAGATCCTCTTCTCTGCATGGTCAGCGACTACGAGAGAGCAGGAATTGGAGCATTTCTTTTCAGAGCATTGAACGAGGTAATCACAACTCTGCCACCGAGTTGTAATCCGTCCAGCAAAAGGCCCATATATAAGTCGCAGAGATCACTTCGCCCCTTCGGCAACACAAGGATAAGCCAATGCATGGGGTCTTCTTCAACAACATTGGAGACCTTGGCTTATCGGGGCCCTGCCTGAGGTGTCTCAGGCAGGGCCCCGGAGGCCATGCCGCGAGGCGCCTGAGACCCTAATGCCCTTGCTGTCAGCATGTCCAGAAAATGCGGTCTTAACCAATATCCATCGACATAACGCGGCCCTAGGAGTGCTTCAATACCATCTACGGTAATTTCGCGGTATAGACGAAACACCGGTGGTTCCGTATGCCCAGGGGGATATTGAATCCCTTGTGGGAAATGATGAGTGCCGAATTCATTGGAACTATTCGTTCCCCACCCTCAGGCTCATACAAGCTAATACGCCTGCCTGATGTAGTTCTTCTCGACTATCAGAGCAATATGGCATTTGCCTTGGTGTTTTCAGATTCTGGCGAGTCGAAAAGAGGAGGAAAAACGGATAAAGTCGAAAATTTCTCTTTTCGATCTCCAGACCGCTCTGTCACGAATCTTATAATCATACCGGCTTGCCGCACCGGTTTATCAATCGCCAGCTAACCTCATTTGACTAATGGTTTTGTCTTAGCTCCTAGTCAAACTGTTTTTCGTTATCATGTTACCATCAACTGGTAGCTAAAGTCTCAGTGACCGTAACAGTCGCTAGAAAGTGATAGTTTTTTATTTAAGCTGACAGTTATGTCACAGAATATCAGTTCCGATATTCTGTGGTTATGTGGTCGCGCATGCGAAATTAGGTTATTTATGTTTTTTGTGATAATTTGAGAAATACTTATTGCAAGTAAAGGGTTAATTACTATAATTGTTTGATTAAAGAAGTTTTCCATTTGTTGAATGACGAAGATGAGGATATATTGGAGTTCAAAGAAGACCTTACATTGCTAATGAACGTAATGATGCTTTCAAAGAATTAGATGAGGTAGAGACTTACAGGTCCTGATGTAGAGGAATTAAAATCAAATTCAACTCTTTTCCAGGCCTTTTCTTTCTTCTTCCATGTGATAGCATCAGTTTTTTTTTGTTCTCAATGATAAATTTATAGGAATTGGCAATTTTTATTAGGAGTGATCTGTCTGTTTCGGTAAAATTGGATGTTCTTTTATTGCTCATTTTCGTTTTTCATATGTCCTCTCAACTCATATAGGTTATTATGTATAACTCATGAAATTTTTGTTAGCAGTTGTCATTTTTGAAAATCAATCCTCCAATAAAAACAAGCCCCTGAAATAGCCACTTATGCCAACCTTAGTTAACTAACAGTTATTAAACATTAGCATCAGTCAGGGTATGATAAACGATTTGAATAGTAACTGCAACATTGACTATCAGCTAAGCTTAGCTTCGAGGTAGCTAACAGGAGCATTTAACTACATATTGATAAACCGGCCCTAAGGCAGAAATCTTAGCTGGATGAATGCAAAAGGCTATCATTCTTGGCTCTCTGCGCTTGCTTAGGGCACATAATTCTCTGACCCAATGACCACTTACCCCACGGTGTGGGCAGTGGTCATTGGTTGATAATGCTGGCTCGCCATCCTGAATGTATCGGGGCTTTCGGGGGATAGGGTCAGACCAGCGCAACCCTAGGTAATTGAATAATAATGTTTATTCATACTTCAAATACAAATACACCAAGTTACGTTGACATAAATGTTATTTCAATAGTTATAAACAATTCAAAGTCATGGAGTAAAATTATTTGTTGTGAATTAACAAATTAAAATGTTGAATAATCTTCATCAAGATATCGTCAAAATCAAGATATGTGCGATTTTATTATGGAAGAGACACTTTTTGATTTTTTTTGTATGTAAAGTCGATAGTGAACCGAAAAAAGTAGGGAAATGAATGTTGTTAATTTTTTTGAAATTTTGATTTGTTCACTGTGTCTTTCAGTGATATATCTATTTCTACTGGCATATATCTGTCTACCATATTTAATACTTTCTCTATCATTAAATATCTAAATACAATTTGACAATAAATAATAGTCTCATAGTGAGTTTTCTACTCTTTTAAAATATTTTTTCATTGAGATATAGAAAGGGTTAAACTTCGAGATATTAAAAACTTGAAAAGTAAAGAAAAATTAACTCTTGTTGTTATAACTATTTCAGGAACGTATTTTTGTCTGATTTTTCAATTCTTGGTGATTCCGTTCTTCTTGTCTTCTCCTTTCTTGTTCCCTCTTTTCCAATTTAATGTCAACTTTTATTATTCTTCTTCTGTTTTTCGTTTCCTTTCTTGTTTCTTTATTCTCCTTTGCTCTTTTTCTTTCCTCCTTAATTTTGTTACTCGCTTCCTGGGATAATTGATACATGATCTGAAGTTTGTCGATCCATCATATCTTATAGAAGTTTTGACAACGTGGGCAATATGCTAACCGATAAAAAAACTGATAATTCTGAAATATTACTCATTTTGCGCGAAGGAAAAACCTTTGTGGATTGGGAAAAATACGAAGAACGGCCGCAGGATTTGTAATAAAAACAATGTGTTCAGTAATTACCTAACCTCTATTCACCATACTACTAAATATCCTTTCTCAATTTCTTCTAGCCATTGAAAGCTTTCCTCTCTTCTATGTCGTACTTTGACATTCTTTTGTTCCTTGACTCAAAACTACGAACATAATTGTTTGCTGAACTCGTAGGCTGCTTGTTACAAACTTCGTAATGAATTGTCGGATACAAAGCAACTACGAATGCCAAAACAATCCCCAATGTTTGACTATTATTCGTTTATTGTTCGACGTTAGAAGTATTCTGGAATGATTTCTCAATTTATTACATTCTTCAGGAAACAATGCAATAATTTTTTTTAACCAGAACAGGGCGGAGCAATAACCAATATTCATGTAAGTCGTCGATGTTTTTATTTGGCCATTATTATAGTTTTGTTGCATTTTGTAATATATTGATATTGAAATTATCTAAAAGACTCTTGTGTCGCTCATAAGACCTTGGACTTTACCTATTTATTTATTCACATAACTAAATAATCAGTATATATTAGTTGTAGCGTCGGTAAAATAAAAACATTCAATTTGCTCAGAGTAAAAAAAAACAAAAACAATAAAGATAACTATGAACCATTGGCTCCAAAAATTAATATCTATAAAATGAAAAGCTTTCAAAAAATATACTGATGGTAGTATCAGTATATTTTTTGAAAGCTTTTCACACGTTAAAAGGTAAGACTTCGTTAATCCTTTATGAGAGTTTTCATTCGTAGGGGGCGACAGCTCGTTAACGGAAAAACATATTTTAGGCATATGTTCAATCCCACACCAAAATATTATATAACCTTAAAAGTTTTGAGACTTGAATTATAGCGATTCTCAATATATTAACGATGATTGTAGAGACTATCAAATCGTTGAAGTAACTCAGCGGGATCGGAAATCATTTTGAGAATATGAATTACTGTATTTGAATTTTTTTGGTGAAAAATATTGACGGTGATAATATAACCAAGAGTGTGATTTATGTTGATTTAAACATTATTGATTAATACATTTTCATAGATTTTAATAAGTACGTAGACGAATTTGATCATATTATGTACCGAATGAACCAATAAAAATGCACTGCAAAGAAAAACTGTAAATTATAAACTGGAAATTCAACACGTGTCATGTATTTATCCCAAAATGCAATTTAGCTAATATCAAAGAGAATAATTTCGCATATATTGAAAAAGACATTATATTTTAAGATGATGTTTTGTACGCGTTATTTCCAAAATGTGTGTTATACGACGAGAAAATACAACTGAGTGGCCTGCTCAGTCACCCGACTTGCGTCCTTTAGATTTGTTATGACACATTAAGCACGAAGTGTATTGCACTTCACCTGACTACTTGGAAGAACGGCAAGTACGTATCAATAATGTAAATTTACTTCACAAGTGCTCAAAAATGTTCAAAAACGGTTTTTAGGTAAAGTTCTTTCCCTAGCATTGTATTTACTTACCGACAGGGTAATATCCTAAGTGTTTCTGATAATTTATAAGGCTCAATGCAAATCGCACAGCATTCACAGTCACCTTGGATTTCCTAAAAAAAATAAATAAATTTTCAGCTCCATTACCGTTTTTTGAATAAGATTTTGAATAATCATGAGCCCAACTAATGGGCTCATTACGATTCTACCCATACGTACCAACACAACAGTAAAGTGGCTTCATTTTTGAATAAACAAGATATCAAAATTGCATATAGAACAAGTAATATGTTGGGAAAGTTAGTTAAAAACTATAAAGACAAAACACCCAAATTCGAAAAATCAGGAGTTGTGGAACTTGTCCTAAGGTATATATTGGTCAAACTGGCAGATCATTTAGGAATCGCATTGAGGAACATCATACGAGCTTTGTAATCATATGAGCTTTGTAAAGTTCAACATATTCAAATCATCTTTTAGAAAAAAATGATATTTTTAACGGAGGTTTCGAAATTTTACACGTAGAAAATAAAGGTTTGAAGCTAAATTATTTGGAAGCAATGGAAATTAATAAACTTGAAAACTCAAACGTTTTACTGACTGATCAATTGGATTTAAATAGACCACCATTACTGAATTTGATTTCTTGGAAACCGATGTATCTTAGTCTTCGTAGATATTGTATTATTGATGTTGAATTGATATGATATGCTCTAGGTAATCATAATTTTAGGATATACCTTAGGTATATAAAAGTTGAGTAGGTAATTATAATCGAAGAAGTACCTGGGTAGGTATCTCTCACTTATGATTACGTGGGGTATATAAAAATTAGAGTAAAAGAATCAACTGTCAGTATGTCAACTATGATTTTCCTGGTGCAAAGTCCGAATAATGTTTATCAAGCCAAGCCTTGGCTACATCAGTATTTTTTTTTCACCAAAAAGCAATGCTTTATTGAACACGAAATTCTTTTTTATCCATTTTCTTCAAACAGAAATTGCTTCACTCAAATAATTCTATCCCACAAACTAATAGTCCGACATCTGTGAAATTTAAACACGTGTCCTTTGAAGGTTAGGGTTAACTAAAAATCATATAGATTTGATACTAGTAGCGCCATCTGTGTGTTAGCCAACGAACTTTTGAGTCCACCTCATATTAGAATAATCCGGAAATGAATATTTTTGTTGAGGTTCTATCAAAAGTAAAAGCTGAAAATTGGGAAAATACCTTTGGTATATTCGGAATGAAAATTGGTATGCTTTCCACTTGGTATGGTTTCTATATATGTTCAATGATTTTGAAAATATCAGTGTTAATTATTTTCTAAGATGTGGGATAAACGTGAAAATTTAAATATGTAGTAAGAAATTTTCGCGAGGAAGGAATCTAAGAAGGTCAAATTAATTTTGAAAACAATATAGTGCGAAGGAAGTTGAGAAAACCTTCACAAACTATCATAATCTGTCATTTACTTTGTGAAATATTAAATGCGTTCAATCAACTATGAACCGTATTTCATTAAACATTAAAAAATTCAGTTCATAAAATATGGCGAAGGACCTGGTTCTAACTACTGTTAAAAGAAGTAGAATTTTCTTTGTTACAAATTCCAATGGAATGCACCTAGTTCAAACAGTTCTCTTTGATAGAACCAAACAATCTTTTTTTCAATTGAAAAATTCATGTTATAAGGATGTAGACCCATGTGATGTGATTCTAAAGTGCATATAGATTATTACAAGGAGTGATATTGTCTGTTGCTTGATTACTCATATCTTATCCATCTTAAGCAAATTCCATGGCAATATTCAACTTGCCTAAAATATTTTGAAATGAATTACTAAAATACGGGAAAACCTTTGGATTGATAGAGACTTTGTGCATTTTCTTCTTTTTTGCAACGCGTCGGTTTTTCATGTCCGTCCAAAATTTCCTCTCTTGTGAAGAAATCCAAGCATTATGACAAACTCAATTGGCTAATTCTTTGTAATATGGGGAGAGACAAATCCCAGAAAGGATCTAAGGTTACTGATGAGTGTCCACAGTGTGTGCACTTCATCGTGGATTTTAATTAACCAACGAAATTATCTACAATCTTAGAGTTATTTATACTCAAATATCTCGGCCCTGACTCTTGTGCTTTTTCCCTATCGCTCAATTTTTCGTCAATCATCATTACTAGGATTAACCTCAATAAATTCAATTTGATTCAATGATGATTTTTGCGAAAAGAAGGGGTTCAAATTGTGAAATATCTATTTCATTAAGAATGTGTCAGAATGGTTTATATTTTCCTATGAATCGTTGGCAAAACTGAATACTTTTTTCTGTCATGTATAAAAAATGAATAATAATAGTACATTTACTTTCCCAAAGATGATAAAACATATAGGAATAGTCACTTATAATCTGAAGAATAAAAAATTCATCCGATGTCGAAAATATATGTTTTCAAGCGAGTTTTAAAAATAGAAATATTGGCGGAATTAACTATTTCTTTAAGTATTTTATCAAAAATCCTCAGACTCAAATATTCAGAAGATTTCGAAGATGCAACATATTTACAAGTAGGGAATGTGGAAATCAGCGCAATTCCTCGTGTTATAACTATGGATTCTAATAAACTTATTTTTATTTGTGTACACACATTAAAATACTTGTCATTTTTAAAATATTTTATTCTTTAAAAATCGGTCTACAGAATGCTTTGCTTGGGGAATCGCAAATAATTTTTAAAATGCGTTTTTGTGCAATAAATACTTCTGGTGCTCGAGTGCAAACACCCCAGAAACATAATAGTAGAGGATCCGACCATAGAATGACCTTCACCAATCGCGTTACGGGTTGAAATATATTTTAATATATAATTCAATATCTAAAAAAATATATTTCGTAAAGGTTGCCTCAAAATTTAAGTGCAAAGTATAATTAATTAATAATTAAATAAAATTGCATCTAATGTCGCAGTTGCAGATAATTGAAAGAAAAATTAAATTCACATGTCAATTACATGAAAAAAATTTGAAATGATTTTGCGAGTACTTAGAATAAAGATTAAAAGCTCATCCTTGGAGGAAATTTTTTGAGTTTTGAATAAAGTTTTGTGTGGAGCAAAAACAAGTTCAAAACAAGAGCACCCTGATTTATTCGTGGACAGAACACTCAAAAAATTGGGGCAAACCTCGGACATGTGTTTCTGGCTATTGGCCTCATCAGCGCGGTGCAGCCAATTGCAAAGCTAGACAACAACTGGTTACCAAAAATTAAAAACATCACATATGCACGGTGTCCGGTGTCACCAACAGGAGCTAACCGCACATTTGTGGTTTCAACTAGAAAATAATAATGACATGTACTCATCTTGTAAATTTCATCTTATATTAAATCAGGATTCTAAATTAAAATGAACAAAACAAAAAATCCAAATTTTCTCTATGAATGAGTATTAAATATAGATTTCGGTTACGTATGCGGATATTCTTTTATTATGAGTGTAAAATTATGTTTATCACAAAATTTTTCAATTAATACACACATTATTCAGAATCAGATACATTTGAATTCTTCATGATATTTGTTACTTAAACCAGTTATTTTTTTATAGCACATGGTATGATAACCAACAAAATCTAGTGACGCTTTGGTTAGGTCAATGTCTTATTTTAGATATTGAATTATATATTGAAATATATTTCAACCCGTAACGCGATGGGTGAAGGTCATTCTATGGTCGGATCTTAGACTATAAGCCATATCGTAATCGGGAGGCAACTTGTGCATGATATAATACGAATAATTAATTGTTCACGTAACAAAATGTTCTTAAGATTTCGGAACATAAAACATAATGAGTTCAATTTTGAGATTAAGTTGGTACAATGTTGGAATAACTCACCTTATCTTCAGACTTCAAGTTTTTTGTTGGTATTTTTGACAACGCCTTTTTCGCTGCATTTCCCAGCCTCTTCTGAAATCAAACAAAAATCAGTTACAATAATATGCTTTACATTATAGAAATCAATGAATCTTTCAATGTAGAACTGATTTCCAAGTGTAATTTCTAAAGAAAATTTCCCTCCTTTCCGAGATCAATCTCGTTGAATATTTCATTGAAAAGCATTTCATTTATTTTCAGCAAATTTAATTGAAATCTGTAGGGAATAGGAAGTTTTGATTCATGCAATATTTCTTTCTGAAATATGAACATGAAACGAAACTTTGCAATCAAAATTGAGAACTCAATGAAACTTTTCTCGTTGGAATAATAATAATTTCAGCGACAGCTTGAGAAGATTCAAAAATGTATAACTTTTGAAACCATTTTAAAGAAGAACATTGTAGGATTTAATGAAGATTGAAGTACTAAATATGTAGAAAATAGTAAAGAAAAAGATCAAGAAATGTTTGTTCCGACAAATACGACTAGTAACTATTCCAAAACTGGTTGTATCTAAAATTCTTCTCAAAAACTATTTCAAACTCAATCGAAATAAATATAATTCTAATTAAACTACAAATAGCAATAGATAAAATACATGCTCCTTTACCGGTGTTTATTTATCATTTTAGTATTACCCACGATAATAATTATATATATGTTGTGATTCCTAACACGGGAACGATAACTTTCTTTGCTTCATCAGCTACTCACTTTTGTAGAATATATATTAGACAGAATCAACAAAAGCAACAGTTATGACTGGTTTCAAAATTATTTGTGTAATTGAAAATAATATGTATATTTTTACTTAGGAAGATAAGTAATGTTACTGAAATTATTTGTTGAGTTTTTCAAGGCTCTACTCTAGAGACCGTATTATTCTATATGTGACATAACTCTTTCCGATACTCTCAAATTATTTGTAGAAGATTGCGTTTTCAAAAATTCTGACTGATTTATTTTCTGGTGTATACGTTTAGAAAAAAAAAAAGAAAAACTGAACTTACCGAAAGTTTGTCTTTTGTGCGTATGTACCTAAACCTTTGGACGTAGTAGAAAACTAGCCATGTCAAGGAGATTATCATCAGTACTATGAAGGTGATTGAAACAAACAATACCGAAGTCCTGAAAAGAAACCAGAATTAGAATTAGATCATTAACAATTCAACCAATGAAAAAAAAAATTCAATAGTCTCACACTTGATGAAAATAATTTATTCAATAACTTCCGAAACCACCGCTGAAACTTTTCGAATCTTGTTTCTGCAATAGAAGACAATTTGTTTCGGTTGGTGAAGAATTTTCTCCCTCAAAACCTATAAGACATGGAGTCCCACAGGGTCAGTTTTGGGACCACTAATTTTTATTATTTATGTCAATTATCTGTTTTACTACATTTTTTCTAAAAACACCAATATGTTTGCAGATGACAGAACTCTAATCAGAAAGGACAACAGATGCTAAGAAATGGTTCAAAAATGCAACTCCTGACTACCTCTTGTGAGATCAGGCAGTATTGTTGAATTGTTAGGATTAAATATTGACAGCTTCCTCACTTGATCATCTCACACTGAAATCCTGAGTAAAAAATATCATCACAATTATTTCTACTGAATTAACTCGCTAGTATAGTATAAAACAAAGACGCCTTTCGCTGTCTGTCCCAATGTATGCTTAGACCTACGCAACGGATTTAAATGTGGGTTTTTTAATAGATAGAATGATTTAAGAAAAAAGTATATATGTATATGAATGCATAATATAGTAGAGTCCCACACTGGGACTAGCCATTCATGTAAGATGAATTTTTTACAACAAAACTCTCTTATTTATCGCGGTGTGTGGAGGAGAAGTCTCCTGCATTTAATTGGTTACATATTTTAGTATACAAACTGAAAAAAAAGAGTAGTTTATGTAATTTAGTCTCCGTAGCGGAAAATAGTTTCGGTTTCAAATTTTGAGAGAGGTATGAATCAGCATTCCAATCAAATGCGTATCATTATTATTACAGAAAACCTGGCCACATGCAAGGCATTTATGAACCCAGGAAACTGATAGATTGACTCTATTCTGGATGCTAGGACACGGAGAACCAAAAAGCTAATAAGTGTTCTTCAGAAGAATCATCAATTGCTTATATAGAGTTTTACCATAGAATCATTTTACCACGAATAAGCTCCGTCCTGAAAACGATCCTCAGAAGTCTTCAGAACACTTGTGTAAGCTGAGGCAAGCTGAGAATCTAAATCTCACTCAGATAGATTTCCTGAATGTGTCTGCGAACTTGGTTGTTAATAACATTCTCCCAAGGACGAGCGGATGGATTAAACTTGATTTTATATTTATCACCTAAATAACTCCTAACAGGAAGTGTGAGTATTGGCATTGACATCGACCTTAGCTGACATTGTTTTTTGTTCGCTACTCAACTTTTCATTTTGGCGCTCTATTGCAGGAAAAACAACTTTTTCGTTTTTCAATTCACATTTTATTTGAAAGCTAATGTAAACAATTCACGAAAAAAGAACAAAAATTGAAAAAATTACATAACTTGAAAATTGGAAAATTGTGCATCATTCCAAACTACATTTATTCATTGTAGATGCTCGAAGTGTTCTTCATTCACTGCCATACATGTCTGAATTCCTTATAGAATTAATTACCTTTTCAATACTGTGCCACACGTAGTACTTTCCCTAATCAAATTGTATGAGTGAACAAGGGGTGGGGAGAGAAGTATGACAGTTGAGGAAACGATAAGATTTGACCCCTTTGGATTTAAAATTGACGTGTTTTTGTATCATGTTTACTATCACATGTATTTTGAAGAATTCGTTTTCGGTGTCGTGTTAAATCGAACCATAATTACAAATTTCTTCCGCCATTTTGGAGCCACCATCTTGATTTTTTGCATTGAAAAATTCATAATTTCCGACCCTGAAAACCAATTTTGAATCAAATCGGACCATAATTGCAAAGCTTGTCCGCCATTGTGAAGCCGCCATCTTGTTTTTTCCCATAGAAAAACTCCGTAATGCATTGTCACAGAATTTATGTCAAATTAGCTTGCGAATGAAGTATTATAATTTGGAATACGGAACAGTTTTTTTTCCGCAAGAGGGCGCCAAAATCGAAAGTTAGGTAGCTGAAATTGACATGGCTGAATTCTTTATGAAATTACCTTTTTAACGATGTGTCACACTTACTACTTTCCCTATTCAAATTGTTTGGGTGATAGTCACCGGGGTGGGGGAAGAGGTATGACAGTTGAAGTTATGATAGGAAGATGTCCCCCTTGGATTAAAAATAAACGTTGTTTTGCATTTTTCTCAGAACACATGTGTTTTGAAGATATTCGATCTGTTTCGTTTTCGGTGCCCCACCCTGTATAGTGCAAACAACTGTTCAAATATTTCATTTGTTAACGGTTTCAAAACTTGAAATATGATGATTTCATTAAACGGACGACAAAGAGTGATTGATAAGAACGTAGGTTATTTTTGTTATTTTCAAGTAATCGCAAAAGGAATTGTCGTTTGCTTATTGAATTATTTTGTATCATTATACAGGGCTTTTCAAATTCGTTTCTGTACATGGGGATCTCGTAAACGATAAGAGGCAAAGTTGCGTATTTTAGAGACCTATTCAGTGATATAGAAACATCGAATATAGCTCTTTTGGTTCTGGAGCTATACAGGAAAAACAAAAAAATCCCAAATTATTTTTTTGCCTATATTTTCTTTATTCGCAGACATATTGAAAATCTGTCTACATTTTGCTATCTTTTATCGTTTACGAGACCCCCATGTACAGAAACAAATTTGAATAGCCCTGTATAATGGATAGGTAAAGATAAAAGTAAAATCAAACCCAAGTTTATCACTTTTTATCTCAGTGCCAAATGAACCATGTAGTATTTTTTAATATTTTGTGGATTTTTTATTGAACATTGCATAAAAGTTTACTTTGACATATTGCAGTTTTTTAATTCAAAAAATCAGCCGTAACAAATCAATATTTAAAACAATATTCCTGTGATGGTGTTAAATAAACTGTGAGAAAATAAAGCATTTAACATAAAACGTAAAAATGAAAGAGTTCGTTACGAATATTGGGGATATTTAATATTTGTATCCGTTTCGAAAATATTAAGAGTAGAAAGTTTGCGTCATTTTCGTTCCTTCACTGTAAACTTCCATGTAATCAGGATATTCATTCAAAATACTCTTCAAACTTTCTGTTCGTCGATGCTTATACATCGAATATTTCTTTTTTGAATATATGTAGTGTTGATGTAGTAGGACACTACTTTGCACTAACAAGAGGCCAAATAGACCGAAACTGGTCTGCAAATGTGCCCGTTCTTATAATTGAAAATCGATTTCGGCAGTTTTCTGGCCAAGAATCCTGCATTGACATCTGTCGGATATAATCCAACGCCCTTCGTGGCATTAGCGAGGGAAGTAGTTGTTTTCTGATAGGAGTCAGTCCATAAACCTACTGTGTAGGTAAGGAAATACTGGCCTGAACGAATTGTTCAATAAACGATAATTCCCCTTCTTTCGAATATAAATCGAAAAATAACGATCCTATGAAAAAGTGGATAGGGACCAACATTGTAAAAAATTTGATTTTACACAACTTTGTTCTTAACAATTTTTCTTGTGAAATTGAAAATAAATGTGATAATACAATAATATGATTGTACCCTCTCCTTTTCTTGGATACAAATCGAAAAATATCGATCCTACGATCGATTCAATTGCGGCTTGAAATAAATCAAATTTTAAACAACTTTGCTCATTAGAATTTTTGCCATCAAATTGAAAATTGTAGAAAATTCAATTCAAAACTTTTGTAATAACTATTGAAATTGAAAATAAACGAGTTATTCAATGAACAAAAATTAACCCTTAAATTCAAGATGACTGGCCCTTTTATTTGCAATGTGTCTCACATTTCATGAGCTTGGGCTTAATATTACTACATAATAGGACCTCAGTAGATAATAACATTATCCTGAGGTGGGTTAAAGGACATGACAGGCCCTTTAACCCACCAAGGCCAAGGAAGCGGCCGGACTAAGAATTTTAGGACGCAGTGGCACCTACGGCCTGATGACTTCCACAATTGCGGAACTAGCCAAACGTCACACCCATGCCCAATCCCTAAAGAGATGTAATCTTGCCAGGATCACCCTGGGCGACCTTGGGAGGCTGGCGCAGAAGAAATATCTGGCGATGACCAGGAAAAATCCACGCTCAACAGTAGGATTTCTGACTGGCCACTGTTAACTAAGGAAACACCTCCATAATATGGGGCTAGTGGACACACCCCTATGCAGGATGTGTGAACAGGAAGATGAAATTGTCAGGCATGTCCTATGCGAGTGCCCGGAGTTATCGTCAATAAGAGAGTGTGTGTTTGGCGAGTCTTTGCCTACACCTTCAGATATAAAGGGGATGTCTACCAGTGACCCCTCCACCTTCCTGGAAAGGACAGGATGGACGATGACCTAGGAGGAAAACTCCTCGAGAGGATGTACAATGGGTCACATGTGGCCTAAGTGCTGTGAGCCTACACTCACCTTCCCTAGTCTACAGATACAGATACAATCAACAATGAATCAACTAATTGAGAAACCAGTTACAGTACACTTGAAAAAAATCACTGCGGAACTAAAAGAAACTCTGAAATGTCTAGTCAGCATCTAACCAGAACTAATCATTTTTTCGTTAATTCCCCAACATCTTGTATGCTTTCTGATTTTGCTTCGCCCGACTGATACGAAACGAGTCATGAAATACTTTTGGATAATCGACCGAAATAATGTCGTGTTTCATGAAACCATACCTATTTGTGAAATTCATTCAGGAAGGTCAAGTTTGAAATGGAAATAAACAGTCGTCCCGATAAGATTTACATTTTTTTACCATCGCGTGTTCAAGGAGACTTCAAGGCAAGGTTAATCGATTTTTGTTGGCATGTCTATGATTTACCGAACAGGAAACGCGGTGAAAAATATAGCGGTCTCCTCAAATGTTCTGATTTCCTTTCAACTGCGATACGATGAAACGGAAGTTAAATGATGAGTGGTTCTTCCTGCGCTTTAACAAATGAGAAGT